GTCTGCCCCGTGCTGACCACGTCTGCCTCTTTCTCCCTGCTCTCCCCCTTCAGTGTTTTCCTCCTTTTTGTAAAAAAAAAAAAAAAAAAAAAAAAAAAAAAGCCCTTGGCTAGCTACACCAGTTTAGGATTATAGCATTGACACAGAATCTCGGTAACAGAGAAAATTAAATTACTCGCGTGGGAACTGAGTTGGGACAGCTGAATTCTTTATATGTAGAAAGTCTGGGGGCCGGTGTTGTGGTGTAGTGGGTAAAATTGCCTGTGTCACCAGCATCCAGTACGTGCTGGTTCTAGTCCCAGCTGATCCAGCTCACTGCTAATGGCCTGGGAAACGCAGTGGAAGATGGTCCAAGTGTCTGGGCTCCTGCCACCCACATTGGGAGATGCAGACGAGGCTCCTGGCTCTGGCCTGGCCACACCCCAGCTGTTGTGACCATCTAGGGAGTGAACTAGCAAGATGGAAGGGGTCTCTCTCTCTTTCTCTCTCTCTCTCTCTTTTTCGCCATCTACCTCCTCCCTCTCTCTCTAACTCTTTCAAATAAATAAATAATTTTTTTTTTAAAACTTACATGCATAACCACTGTGTACACAGATTTGTTGCTTACCTGGAGAGAAATGTTGGGTTCAGCTGTAAAAGTCAGTTTTTGTGTGGACAGTGAGGCAGGCAGGTTAGGAGAGCAGTTGTGAGCCACCTGGAACCTTCCCTTTTAGACACAGACCTGCCTGTCTGGCAGGTACAGGAAACCAGAGCACACCGGGCCTGGGAGGGGACCCAGAGTCGAGGATGCACCCCAGAACAGCCAGAGTCTGAGAGCAGGAGGGGTTGTCACATCTGGGGACCGCGGTGAGCCGTGTGAGGGGTGTAGAGGAGATAGTTGGTTCTGTTTCTTGTACAACTGTGTAGTGCGTATTAAACACACAAGAATTGTCCTACTGCCTCTAAGAAGTGTACCTTTCTTTCTTGAAATAATTCTCTTTTTTTATAAAAAAATATTTGTTTATTGGGTTACTGGGGCTGCTGTTGCGGCACAGTGGGATCAGCTGCTGCTTGCAGTGCTGGCATCCCATAGCAGGATACCCGTTCACGTCTTAGCGAGTCCACTTCCAGTCCAGCTCCCTGCTGGACTGTATTAACCTCGGAAGTCAGCAGAAGGTGGCCCAGGGCCCCTGCCACCCATGTGGGAGATCTGGAGGGAGTGCCCGTCTCCTGGCTTCAGTCTGACCAAGGCCTGGCCATTTGCGGAGCAAACCAGTGGGTGGAAGACTCCCCCAACTCTCTCTCTACCTTTCAAATAAATAAGCAGGGGCCGGCGCTGCAATGTAGTGGGTTAACACCCTGGCCTGCAGTGCCGGCATCCCATATGGGCGCTGGTTCTAGTCCCGGCTGCTCCACTTCTGATCCAGCTCTCTGCTATGGCCTGGGAAAGCAGTGGAAGATGGCCCAAGTCCTTGGGCCCCTGCATCAACATAGGAGGCCCAGAAGAAGCTCCTGGCTCCTGGCTTCAGAAAGGCACAGCTCCGGCCATTGCGGCCAATTGGGGAGTGAACCAGCGGATGGAAGACCTCTCTCCCTCTCTGCCTCTCCTCTCTTTGTGTTAAGTCTCACTTTCAAATAAATAAATAAATCTTAAAAAAAAAAAAAAAAAATAAGCAACCAGAAAGTTTTATTTATTTGGAAGACAGAGAGAGACAGAGACAAAGATATCTTTGATCCACTGGTTCACTTTCCCAGTGCCTGAAGCAGCCAGGGCTGGGCCAGACCAAAGCCAGGAGGCACAGACTAACCAGGTACCTCATGTGAGTGGCAGGGACTAAAGTATTTGGGCCATCGCCTGATGCCTCTCAGGTGCTTTTGCCGGAAGCTGGATCAGAAGTACAAAGTAACCAGGACTCGCACCAGGCAGCCCAGTATGGAACGTGGGACCCCAACAGCAGCTTGACCCACTGTACCATGACACGTACCGTTGAAATTCTTCAGCCTCTCACGTGTGTCCTGCTTTGCCACCTCTCGTAATCCTTGCCGGGACACAGAATCGTTCTTCGCTGAGACGGAGAGGAGAGAGGAGGGTAGCACGCGTGAGGGCGTGCTGCAGCCGTGCTGCCCACCGATGCCCCGGGAGGAACGTGCTTCTCCATTGCAGATAGACTGTGGGTGTAGGTTTGAATGAGCTGCACCCTCATTTTTAAATATTGTCTCAACAGTAACAGCAGAAAGGTACCATGTGGTCAAACCAAAGCTCTGCCTCTCTGCTGTCATGTTCTGCACTCCTGTCTGGACAACAAGGCCCAGTTTGGGCAGCGTCTGGACCTCGGAGGCCAGGTGGCAGCTGGTGAGAGGGAAGTGCGGAGCTGTGGGATCGCAGATCGTCCCCGCCTCAGCACGGACTTTGTCTTCTTGTAGCCAAACTGGAAACAGTTGCCAGGGCAACGTCCACTCTGGCGGAGCCTGAAGCTCCCTCGTGACTGCTTGCAGTGCCCTTTCTCAATGGGCAAATTTGGCACAGTTTGCCAGTCTCACCACTCCAGGGACAGACCAGCAGCCTTTAGTGAATGCTGCCGCCGTGTCTGCAGCTCCTGCACAGCCGCTTTTCAAAGCCTCGTGCCTCACAGTTACCCTCCAGGTGTCCACGGTGATTGGGGTGCTGATGGTGACTGTAGACAGCTGGGTGCTGGTGACACCACGTGGCATGTGGCACCCAGCCTGGTGTTTGGTCACTGTGGGGCAGAGCCCAGGGCCTGTTGTCAGAGCAGGCTGGGATCCGGCTGGCGCTCCTCTGTAGTAAGATAGCAGAGCCCTGTCACCGTAAGCGGTCAGACTTCCAGGGAGCAGAAGGGATGCAGATCTAAGGAGGACTTGTCCAGGGCCTCCACCCCGCGGGGTTCCTTTACTTTCTAATTGTCACCCGTGATTTTTTCCACTTAGTCCCCGGTGGGCTGAGCTGAGGTGATGGAGTGCTCAGTATGTTGTGGCCACACAGAGCCCTGATGTCAGGGGCATTCGGCGAAGCCAGCCCATGCACCCACAGCCTGTTGAGAGGACGGAGATGTGTGCTTGGCAGTGAGAGTACATTTCAGCGAGAACGTGGCCAGTCATCCACACTCAGGTGCCACTGAGCACCCACTTATCAAGAAGCTTTTGGGAACCTGCCATGAACTAGCGGTAGTACTTCATGTTCTGCAAGTATAGGAGCAAATAATAATGCTTATAGGTGTGTGCAAATACATAATTTATATGGATATTTAAAAAAAAACTTATTTCAAAGGCAGTGTTACAGAGAGATAGAGGAAGAGACAGAAAAATCTTCTATCTGCTGGCTTACTTCCCAAATAGCCACAATGGCTGAGGCTGGGCCAGGCTGGAGCCAGGAGCTAGGAGCTTCTTCCAGGTCTCTCAGGTGGGTGCAGGGGCCTAAGCATTTGGGCCATCCTCAACTGCTTTCCCAGGCACATTAGCAGGGAGCTGGATTGGGAGTGGAGCGGCTGGAACATGAGCTGGTGCCTGTGTGGGATGCCAATATTGTGGGTGGCAGCTTAACCCACTATGCCACCACAGCAGCCACCCTGTAAAGACTGAATTTATATATATATATATAATTTATTTGAGAGGTAGAGTTATAGACAGATGGAGAGACAGAGAAAAAGATCTTCCACCTGCTGGTTTACTCCCCAAATGGCCAGAATGGCCAGAGCTGAGCCATTCCAAAGCCAGGAGCCAGGAGCTTACTCCAGGTCTCCCATGTGGACGCAGAGACCAAGCACTCAGGCCATCTTCTACTGCTTTCCCAGGCCATAAGTAGAGAGCTGGATTGGAAGAGGAGCAGCCAGGACATGAACTGGCACCCATATGGGTTACTAGCACCTCAGGCAAAGGCTTAGCCTAGTATGTCACAGCACCAGCCCCAGGATCGAATCTTACTACCAAAGAAAGGTCATATGGGGGCCGGCGCTGCGGCTCACTAGGCTAATCCTCTGCCTGCAGCGCCGGCACACCGGCTTCTAGTCTCGGTTGGAGCGCCAGATTCTGTCCCGGTTGCCCCTCTTCCAGGCCAGCTCTCTGCTGTGGCCAGGGAGTGCAGTGGAGGATGGCCCAAGTGCTTGGGCCCTGCACCCCATGGGAGACCAGGAGAAGCACCTGGCTCCTGCCTTTGGATCGGTGTGATGCGCTGGCTGCAGCATGCCGGCTGCAGCGGCCATTGGAGGGTGAACCAATGGCGAAAGGAAGACCTTTCTCTCTGTCTCTCTCTCACTGTCCACTCTGCCTGTCAAAAAAAAAAAAAAAAAAAAAAGAAAGAAAGAAAGGTCATATGGGATGCCAGCGTCACAGGTCACAGGCAGCAGGTGATGGCTTTACCTGCCACACCACAATGCTGGCCCCTGTATATGAAATTTTAAACCGTTTATCTGAGAGGCAGAGAGACAGAGCTCTTCATTACTGGTTTATTCTCCAAATGCCCACAACGGCCAGGGCTGGGCCCGACCAAAACCTGGAGACACAAACTCAGTCCAGGTCTGCGGTGTGAGAGGGACTCAAGTGCTGGAGCCGTCGCCTGCTGCCTTCCAGGGTGTGCGCTGGCAGCAAGCTGGCGTTAGGAGCGGAAGCCAGGGCTTGAACCCAGGTACTCCTGTGTGGTACGTGGACATCGTATCCACTAGGCAAACACAGACCTGCATATGGAACTTTTAAAAAGATCACTGTGGCTTTGAGAGAACAGATAGAAACTTCACCAACAGCGCTGTAAGATTAGCATCATGTTGAAATGCAGCAGGTGAGACATGTCATTATTTGTGGCAATGTGTTATAGACAGATTTTTAGCATGCAGGAAGTACGGATTTCTGATGCGCCCCCTCCCCACCCGCAGCCCCTGTTGCTGACACGGCTGTGGTAGGGTTGTTACAGCTGGTGAGTCAGTGCTGATCCGTGAGCTGCAGCTGTAGCCCTGCGTGTTCTACAGACGTACACTGCACTCAGAACAGCCCCCTCGCCCTCCAAATCCCTGTGCTCCTCCCCTCCAGAAATCCAGAACCGTCCTACCAGGGTGGCGCATACACAGCCTGTTCAGACCACTTCTTTCGCTTTCCAACATGCATTTTAAATTCTTCCATGTCTTTCCGTGGCTGGGGGTTTACTTCACTCTTCCCTGAATTACAGCTCATTGCATGGATGCACCACAAAGGGCATCTTGGTGGTTGAGTTTGGGAAATTACAGTAGTTGAGTTGCCGTTCATGTAGGGGAGCACCAGGGAGCACGCTGTTGGATCACAGGAAGGAGCGTGTGTAACTCCATCGGAGACCTGCACCGCCTCCCATGGGGCCGGGCCGCCTGCACTGCCACCTGCGGTGGGTGAGCACTCGCGCTGTTCCCTGTCACTGCTGGCACTTGGTACCAGTGCTCTGGATGGGAGCCCTTCTGATGCGGTCGGAGTGTTCTTGAGTTTGTCCCTCTCTGATCGTGGGCTAGGAGCATCTGTGACAGCAGCACATGTTTGGTGAGCTGTCCAGGTCTCTGTCCATTTCTGACTGAGTTGTTGGCTTCCTTGTTGGCCGTCAGGAGTGTTTGTGTCTTGGGAGCGAGTCCGTATCAGTTTTCTTGTTAGTGACTGTGCTTTCGGGGCAGGCAGCCCTGAAAATGAAAGGAGGGTGTCATCAGCTCTGGGTGGAGGGTTTGGAAGCCGGATACAGAGTACAAGACGATGAGAGCCAGTGGCTGACGCGGAACCTGGGGTGACGGCGAGAAAGTCGTTTCTGCCTGCAGAGAGACTTGCAAGACTGGGAATGGCCAAGGGACTGTGGATTTGTGGCGGACACCTGGGCAGAGGGTGGGAAAATAAAGCTCACAAGCCCCCAGCAGGGCTCCTGAAGGGATCAGATGCAGGCTCTGGCAGCAGCTAAGGAGCTGAAAACGGGGGCCACAGCTGTGATGTAGAGGGGAAAGATGCCGCCTGCAGAATCAGCATCCCATAGGGATCTGGTTCAAGTCCCGGCTGCTCTACTTCCCAGCCAGCTCTCTGCTATGGCCTGGGAAAGCAGCGGAGGATGGCTCAGTGCTTGGGCCTCTGCACCCGCATGGGAGACCGGGAGGAAGCTCCTGGCTTCATATCAGCCCAGCTCTGGCTGGTGCAGCTATTTGGGGAATGAACTGGTGAGTGGAAGATTCTCTCTCTCTCTCTCTCTCTCTCTCTCTCTCTCTCCCTCCCTCCTTCCCTCCTTCCCTCCCTCCCTTCCTCCCTCCCTCTCCCTCTCCATCTCTGTCTCTGCCTCGCTGTAACTCTGCTTTTCAAATAGGGAAATCTTCAAAACAAAACAAAAGGACTGAAAAGGTTCATTCAGGGTCTCAGGCTGGATGCCAGACCAAGCCCAGAGTGGGTCCTCAGGCCCAGGTGCTCTGGAAGGACCAGGCTGTTTCCTGAGACCCCAGGCCACTTGCTAAGAGCTCCCTGGAGAGCATCTCAGGACTTGCTTCCCTGCACTCAGCCAGCAGAGCAGGCCAGCCCTTTGTGTCGGCATCCGTGTGATTCTGGGGTGGCACATGCACTGAGTGCAGGAGCTGGGTGGGGGTCATGGTGCCTTCCTAGGAGGCTAGGCAGAGTTGTGCCTTAGGGTTGGGACTCCTCAGGGAGGCCTGATGGGGCAGTGCCAGCTGACGCTGTGGGAATGAAGCTGATGTGGACACCACAGAGTGACCAACACCGTGAAACACCTGCCGAGGAAAGCTGCAAGCAGTATGCTCCACAGAGCGCAGAAAACCACATACACAGGGGTGGGCGCTGCGGCACAGTAGGTAAAGCTGCCGTCTGCAGTGCCGTCATCCTGTGTGGCCACCGGTTCAAGTCTTGGCTTCTCTGCTTCCGTCCAGCTCTGCTCATGTGCCTGGGAAAGCAGCAGAAGATGGCCTAAGTCCTAGGGCCCCTGCACCCAAGTAGGAGACCCAGAAGAAGCTCCTGGCTTTAACTTGGCCCAGCCTCAGCTATTGCAGCCATTTGGGGAGTGAACCAGTGGGTGGATGATCCATCTCTGTCTCTTCGCTCTGTCTCTGTAACTCTGACTTACAAAAAAGAAACACATTCACACACACACACACACACACACACACATCAGGCTGCAGCCTCAGAGAGCAGCCACCTGGGCAAGGACCAACAGAGGTCTTCACCTGGATTTCAGAGGGTGCCTTGGACAGTCTGGGAGCCTGAGCAGGCACCTGCTGCAGGAGTGGGCCCTGCAGAGAAGACACCCCCTCCCCCACCAGGTCTGAGCCCTGAATCCTGAGCTGCCACCGGGAAAGCCAGGGTGTGGCAGCTGTTCCCACCACAGTGTGGCCAGGTGATGGACATGAACTTCAGGACTTCGCGTCTCCCTGCTGAGGTCTGGATCTTGCCTTGGTCTGATTAATCCTTTCTGCTAGCCTGTTACCCTTTCTGGAAATGGAGATGTGTGCAATTACTGGTTCGCCGCAGAGACTTTGGACTTGGGCTTTTGAGTTGATGTCAGACTGGATCAGGACGGGTGCTACTGGGGATGGGATGATTGCAGGCCGTGTGTGAGAAGGGCTTCCGGGTCAGGGAGCCAGGGCCAGCCTGGCTCTCACACTTGCAAGCCTAAGTGAATGGTACTAAAATGTGAAAGCTTAGTCCAATCTTGGTGCTTAGGGGCAGGGTTTCTGGGATGTGATCACACTGGGCTAACTCACTGGGGTGGGTCCCAGTGATACAATCACAGTGGCTTTGCCAGGAGTGGAAGACACACAAGAGCTCTCCGCTTGCCTCGTGAAGTCCTGCAGGGCCTGGGCACTCTGCTGGCCCACGGACCCCAAAGCTGGTGTTTGCTGTCGTCACGGGACGCTCGCTGGTACTCCAGGTTTACTGAGGAGGATTGCCCTGGTTTTGTCTTTGCTGTGGCACACGCCGTGGCACACTCAGAGAAACCGCCACTAGGCAGAGGAGGATGTGTTCCCTGCCCTTGGCCTGTCTGTCTGCTGCCTGTGGACAGCTCCTCTTGTTTTGCCTGCAGCCACCGCCAACGCAAGGAGATGAGAAAGCTGTTAGGTTTTCTGCAAGCTGCTGAAGCATTTCCCATGGTCGTCTTTTTCTTATCTTTTTTTTTTTTTAAAGATTTTATTATTTATTTGAGAGGTAGAGTTACAGACAGAGAGAGGGAGAGACAGAGAGAAAGGTCCTCCATCTACTGGTTTACTCCCTGGATGGCGGCAAGAGCCGGAGCTGAGCCAATCAGGAGCCAGGAGCTTCTTCCGGATCTCCCACACGGGTGCAGTGGCCAAGAACTTGGGCCGTCTTCCACTGCTTTCCCAGGCCATAGCAGAGGGCCGGATGGGAAGTGGAGGAGGCGGGACTTGAACCAGTGCCCATATGGGATACCGGCACTGCAGGTGGTGGCTTTACCAGCTATGCCACAGCACCGGCCCTTCCCACTGACTAGGAAGCAGTCATCAGTATTCCAGTGTGGCTGGCATCGCCTCTGTGGATAGTGACGGTGCCTGTCCATCACTTCGTTCCCCTGAATAAATAGGGACAGAGCCTTTAGGAATTAATACACACAGCAGAGCGGGACAGCACAGCAGAGCTCGCTGTTCCCGACTGTGATAGATGTTTCTGGACAGCTCACAGTGCCAGGAGCATGAGACTGGACAACGCAGGTCAAAAATCTGGCCTTGAAGCCCACGTGTTAACTTGGCTTATAAACAGAAGAATCTTCAGACACTGCTGATTTTAAATGCATTATGGATTTATGCTGGAGTCTGTTGGTGCTGTTTCCGGTTTCAGCGACCACGGTGCTGCAGGGGAGGCGCAACAGAAAGCGCTGGCACGCACGGAGCCCTGACGTCTCCACAGCAGTGCCCACCCAGAGCACTGCGCAAGGAGGCCTTCTGCCGTGGCGCGTGCGGAAGGCAGTGCCGGGAAACACCCTTCCTTGTCTTCTCAGCTGGGGTTTTAGTCCCCTTTAGGATGAGTTTCCACCAGCTCCTAGGATAACGGTCATTTCAGCACACAGACATACCGCCAGACATGAACAGGCAAACACCACACACACATGCACGTGTAACACCACACGGTCCCATCTCCTCCAGGCAAACACACACCTGTGAACAGCCGTGTCAGGTTGTACAGACAGCTGTGAGCAGCTGTGTCACCGTGCAGACACACGATGTGAGCAGCTGTGTCACCGTGCAGACACACGATGTGAGCAGCTGTGTCACTGTGCAGACACATGATGTGAGCAGCTGTGTCACTGTGTACAGACACATGATGTGAGCAGCTGTGTCACTGTGCAGACACACGACGTGAGCAGCTGTGTCACTGTGCAGACACATGATGTGAGCAGCTGTGTCACTGTGTACAGACACATGATGTGAGCAGCTGTGTCACTGTGCAGACACACGACGTGAGCAGCTGTGTCACTGTGCAGACACATGATGTGAGCAGCTGTGTCACTGTGCAGTCACACGACGTGAGCAGCTGTGTCACCGTGCAGACACACGACGTGAGCAGCTGTGTCACCGTGCAGACACACGACGTGAGCAGCTGTGTCACCGTGCAGACACATGATGTGAGCAGCTGTGTCACCGTGCAGACACACGACGTGAGCAGCTGTGTCACCGTGCAGTCACACGACGTGAGCAGCTGTGTCACCGTGCAGACACACGACGTGAGCAGCTGTGTCACCGTGCAGACACACGACGTGAGCAGCTGTGTCACTGTGCAGACACATGATGTGAGCAGCTGTGTCACCGTGCAGACACATGATGTGAGCAGCTGTGTCACCGTGCAGACACACGACGTGAGCAGCTGTGTCACTGTGCAGACACACGATGTGAGCAGCTGTGTCACCGTGTAGACACATGATGTGAGCAGCTGTGTCACCGTGCAGACACATGATGTGAGCAGCTGTGTCACTGTGTAGACACATGATGTGAGCAGCTGTGTCACTGTGCAGACACATGATGTGAGCAGCTGTGTCACCGTGCAGACACACGATGTGAGCAGCTGTGTCACTGTGTAGACACATGATGTGAACAGCTGTGTCACCGTGCAGTCACGCGCCTGTGACCCATGCTTGGTTGTGTAGATTGTTCAGGACATAGGCATCATAGGGGCACATCAAGGGCCAGGGTTGGCACACACAGGACCTATACTCTATCCGAAGAGACAGAACAAACAAGTAAATCTGCCAGGTGGTGACTGATGATAGAGAAAAGAAGCAGGGAGGAAGATGCAGCCGGGAAGAAGACCCAGGGACAGCTGGGGACAGTGCCGCAGGGCACTGGGACACTCGCTTGGGAAATAGCCTGTGTGAACTCATCTGCTTATCCAGACGCTAACCAGGCAGCAGACCCACCTGCCAGCGCAGCTTGGACTTGCCCAAGAGGCCAGTGTCCGAGTGCCGTGGAGACCATTGTGTGTTGTGAAGACGATCATGGTAGCAACATCTGCAGCTAGGACCGAGGGTAATGTGAGTGGATCCCTGTGCACAGTGAACAGTCCCAGAGCTCAGACACTGTTGTTAATGTCAGCCCCTGATGGATACCAGAGCCGCCCTGAAACCCAGGGCACCCACAGCCTGCTGGGAAGGCAGTCGCTTCCATTTGGAGGTGAGCGCCAGGCCACAAGA